TCCAGGTGTTACCATGACTGGAAAACTAGTCCAGATTTTCAAGATCAACCTGACCAGATCGAACACAGCGGGTGCTGTCGCAGTGAGAGGAGAGGTAGAGATCCAGGATAGCTTGGACTTAAGGCTGCTCTTGACCAATGTCCAGTCTGGAGGATGAAATTGGACAAATGGGCAAACAACGGGAAACCAGAGACTGTTGTTCCCACATCTTTACAGAGACCTGCTCCATCAACATCCTGGATCAGCACTGGACGGCCGACAGTGTTTGCCTGTGTTTGTCTGTGTTTACATAGATGAACAATGTTTGTGTTTATGTTAAACCATCACTGTCTTGTTGCTGCTGTTTCCATTCAACCAGACACACAATAAAAAGATGACCTGAAGTTATTTCCTTTATATGGATATAAATAACTGTATATATGGATTTATTTTCTCTGTTATTCTGCTATAAATGTAATCTGTTTCTATATGTGCAGCATGAATGACCTGCAGACCTTCATTCCGTTGTTCAGCCTTGTCTTTGATGATAAATACATTTCCTTGAATACTATGTTACAGGAGATATTTGTTTGTTCCTTTTAAAAGATATATCCAGCCTTGTTTTGTCTTTTTTAATTTAGTCCATTCAGGAGATTTTCTCTCGTACAATTTCAAAGAACTCCATCAAAATGAAAGTGAAACACCCAAGAACATGGACAATGTCTTTTATTCTGAAACAATGCCGCAGGGCGGACGTCACTGCACAATCCGCTGTTTACTCTGCTGAGCAGCACAACCCACACTGGCTGTGTTCGCTGTAATGAAGGAGTATTTCATTGTGGACAGTCTTGAAAGTCCTCATGATTGTACGGATAATAGCCAGGCTGCAGGAGACTGGCTCAATTGTTTTCTGAATGACTTTCTCCGGGACGGATAGTTAATTTATTTTCAATTTGAAGTCCTGATCCTTGACTGCGTGGCACAGTTTCCGTCCACCCGTCAGACTCCATGTGCTCGCCTTTATAACCCAGACCCACATGAGCTGCAGTGGAGGGTTTAATCAACCTCTGCTGCAAAAAGAGCTAGAACAGGATTGTGACGGGGGGGCTATATACCATTTCCTCAAACAATGCACTGCACAACTGTACAATCTCGTACCTTTCATGAGGTTGTTCAATTACTGAAAAAAGCGGTTCAGTCAGCTGAAATTACATCTCATAAAGTCTGTCACAACTCCACAGAGAGCTAATCATCTATCAGAGGGCTGACTCAAGGAGAATTTGTCTTTTTTTTACCCCCTTTGCTCCATTTTGTCAAATACATTTTTAGCTGGTTCTCACTGTGTTATTAAAGCTTCCTTGTCAAATGTGCTTTGTATTGTATGTTTGGCTGCACAATTAATCCAATATTATTAACCACTCTGTCCTCCCACAATTAAATGAATGTGATTGTTAACGATACTGACGTTTAGAGTAGTGGTTCTCAACCTCGGGGTCACAACCTTGTTGTGTATAGCAATAAAATATTCTTGAATCCTTGAAGGGTACACAGTTTTAACATCAGAGCTTATAGAAGTAGCATCAGGGAGTAGAAAACACTCAAAAATAAAAGCCTATCAAGTCTGTATGATTGTTAAAAATAATAGTAAATACATAATACAGACAGAAAGTTGCATGAAAAGTTCCTAAACATATCAGAAAAACTAATCTCTGATCAATATTCACAGGAAATAATCTGCTCAAGATTACTCATTTTGCTCCCTGCAGTTATTGTGTTCGCTGTTTAGTTTGTCAGTTGTTCTCTGCTGTTATTGTTGCATTGAATATAATATGAAATATACATAAAATGTGTCTCTTAGTGAGGGGTCATCAGATTAGAAAACTTGTCCCTGAAGGAAAAAGGTTGTGAACCACTGGTTTAAAAAGCTCGGCTCATAGGAATATGAGCTGCACATAAAATCAAATGCAAAACCGAACATTTCCTGCTGTTGCAGATTCACATTAAAAGCATTTAACTGGCGAAACATGAGTTGACCTTTATTTTGACGTAAACTAGACACAGGAAGTGTTTGACGCTGGCAGCTATGGTTCAACAAAAATGGTTTTGGAAGTGGGTCGGTTTGAAATACGTCAGGGAGTGATTGAACAAGCGCTCATTATGGCTATAATTGTGCTAACACATCTAAAACATTTATCAAAAGAGAGCTGACTATTTAACTGTCTTACATTCAGAAGGTCGAGTGTGTGGGAGTTAGTGTCATCTGGTGGTGAATGCAGATTACAACCAACTAAATATTGCGAAAAACATAAAAGCTCCTATCTAGAACAGTGTTTGATTTGTCTGTTCTGGGAAACTTTGGTGTTTGCATGAGTGGAAAACTTTAAATTTCCAGGTTTTCCACGACTCTGCCAGTCAGATCAACCAGACCAGCTCCACCACAGCAGGTGCTGTTGTCCCTGATTCTCATTTTCTACTAATTAAACACTAATAAAAACATAGTAATGAATATTTCTGCCAGTAGATCCTCCTGAATGTTATACACTGGACCTTTAAGTACCCTGTAACCTGAAACTGGTGTTAAAATTAAAAACCAAAACTAGGAGTAATAATTCATATTTAACTTGTAACAGCAGCATAAAATCAGTCTCTCCTTTCTTTCATTGTTTTGTATTTAAAAGAGGATTTGACAGGATTGAAGTTGTGGATTAAGATCAGACCTTTTCCATGAAACGGATTAAAAAAAAGCTCATAAATGCATTATTACATTTTTTCTCTTTAACTCGTTTGTTTAAAAGTCTTTTGTGATTTCTAAGAAACTGGAATCCAATTGATCTTCATCGTCTCAGCACAGCAGAGGACTTCTCCTACAAACACAGATATTATAGGCTACATTCAAACTGCAAGCCTTTCCCTTCAGGGACCTCTTTTCTATCTTTAAACTCACGACCCCTGAATAAGTGATATTATAACATCATACCTAACAATAATAACAATCAACCTGATGCCTTGCTATTAGCTTTGTGGTTGTTAAAACTTTCAGGGATTCAAGGATATTTTATTGTCATTCACAAGATGGTTGTAGAATGAAATTTAGATACAGTTGCCTTTATGCTACCTCCAAAAAAACAAAACAAACTAAAAGTTTCCTTACATGCCTTAAAATCAAGTGCGACGGACCCCTAGTGGAGGGTCTCGACCACTGGAGTAAATTACTTTTTAATGATTTTAATGTGGAAATTAAAGGTTTTTTTGCAGAAAAACATATCAGACACATTCTGACATAGGACATATCGTTGTCTTCAAAACCTGTTGTCGAAGTTTATGGTTTATTTTTTATAAATATACAAAATGGCGTCGCACAAGGGTCCAAACTGGGTCCTATTTTATTTACAATTCATATCAATAATTTGTGTTGCAGTTGTAATGCAGGATTCTGAGATGTAGGTCTACTGTGTTTATCAAAATAAAGACAACAGAACGCCACTTCACTTCAATGTGCCTGCGTCTCCTTTATCTTTGCTTTTCTTCTTCCAGGATTGTAACCATTACAGAAGATCTTTTTAACTTCTAAAACTACTACTTTGATGTAATCTTTTGATTCAAAAGTGAGTGTTCTTTAATCTTAATTTAAACATTAACTTCAACCTGATTTTACCAATATTTCAGGCCAATATTGATAATGTAGGAACACTGAGAACTGAGTATCTGGGGAACATTGAGTCAGTGTTAAATGTGCAGTCTGACAAGTGACCCTTGCTAAGTCCTGCCCCTTTTGGAACCACAACTTGCTCAACTGTTATTGGGTCACGAACCAAAAAGGGGTGGGACTTATAAAGGGTCATCCTACTCTCGGTCTTCTAGTCTGAGTGTTTTTGTATTTATCAAGTATCATTTTGCTGCTCTGAGAGGCTTTAAAGTACCAACCCTGGCCCCTCAATAACAAACATCGCTCACCGTTTCTTGTGCGAAAAACAAAACTCAGGATCTGGACTCTAGTCAGAAATAAGTGTTTCTTCCTGTTCCTACAGTCATGTTTAAATGATGTATGTGCAGTTTGACACTAGAAGCAGAAGAACATGTTTTAATGAGGTAGCAGTTACATAGTTAAACCTTTAAATGGTTCAAAATCTGACCTTGACCTTTTTAAATATACAAAATGGCATCCCACAAGGGTCCTTACATGGCCCTATTTTATTTACAATTCATGTCAATAAATGTCAATGTTGCAGCGTCAGTTATACATTTTATTTTTATGCAGTCTGATTTTAATGCTGTTCAGAGGAATTTCTGGGGAGTGAGACTAAATTCGTTGGTGTGGTGTATATCAGATTGAAGTAACAAGCAGACCATTATATATATGTCTTAATCTAAGATTTCTAACTATTTGTAGTATTAATTTGACCTCAAATTCTGGGGGGGGGTTAATAGTTATTGACTCTTTATGATGCAACCTTCCTGCAGGATACAAACAAAATGGCATTACAAATCATTTCAGCAACTTCTCAGTGATAGATTGAGCTTGTCTGCTACTTTGAAGGCGACTGATTAGGCCTCGTAGAAAGCAAACTCAGCACATCTATAATCTTCCCGAATCCCCAATCAGATTTTCAGCACATTTTGAGATGAGAAATCTGTCTGAGGTAAGTGGCAGAGTGCTGGTCTACAGAGTAAGGGCAAAATATCATGAATATAAATATGAAATCCAATATATCTTTTAAATTTTTTTGTCTTATAATCAAGACCCCCATTACCTCAGAGATGAGCGTATCTGTGATTTTAGCATTGAAGATGAGGACCTTGTCGGTTCAGCTACCTCTTAAGTTGTCTCAATCAAACCAAAATCAATCCTCCGCTAATCTTTGTCATCACTATCATCCGTTTATCAATAACAACGAGCGACATCTTGGGGATACATTCATCTTTGCTTCCAAATTATCACAGAGCTCAAATCAATATTCTAAGTAATCAATGCAAATTATCTGTATGCAGCGTGTGTGAAGACAGATGGAGCTGAGAGAGTGTTTTCACAGCGGAGCCTTTTTAATGGGCAGAGCTTTCAAACTGAATTGTCCAACTAGTCATTCAATAGCAGAATAATTTAGTACAAAAAGGACAGCAGTGCGACCGTTCCAGTGAGTCCAGAGACTGTAGACGGGTTGCCAGGCAGCAAGCCGCCGTCTGTGGAGGTAAAACCTCTTGTGGACTTCAGACACATTGATTTATCAATTCAAGGCTAAGTGGGAGCAGTAGAAAAAGTGACAGTGATCAAAAACCTCATCCATAAACATCAGTCAGGTTCGGAGCGGGGAATATGACAGGCGGAAAAAACTCCCAAAAGAAACAGGAAGAAAATCAGATACATGAATGAGGAATTGTTCTTTTTTTTTATCGTACCAGTTGGTTTTATTATGACAATGCACACTTGAAAAGCAAAAAAAAAAAAAAAAAAAGCCTTGGCATCCTGCAAAAAAAACCAACAATATTATGAGTCACTCGCTTGAGCCTGCATGGACCAGCCGCTGAGCGGACTGTGCCTTACATTATTATTGCAAAGGGTCACTTTCAGTTGAAACTCATTAGCAAACATAAGGACGTAAAAATAAAATTTGTGATTACATTAAAATATCGGTCATTCCGTCTTTGTATAGTGGGAGATACATTTCGATATGCAAACACACACGATAAAATAAAACACTTGAAATATGTGACCCATGACAAACAAAACAGAAAGTGTACATAATTGAATCATAATCTAGGCTAAGATTTTACAAATCACAGAAGGCTAATCATTAATCGTGTTTTCTTTTAATAATCAAACAATTTGAGGCTGTATCAAAAACTTTGTAAAAAAATTAGAAGGAGATTTTTCATTGAGAATTTGTCAGTGAGCTAATTACTGGAAATTCAAGGTTCTTTCTTCCTTTCCGAAACCTCTGTGACCTCTAAAATGTGAATTATCTGTACAATCCCAGCTGGGAGAGTCTCCATGGCACACACACACAGTTTCTCCTCAGAGCAGAACTGCCTCATTACATAAAAAAATAATTATTCCTGCTCCAAAATAAACCGGAGGGGTCCTTTTTCCTGTTGGCGTACATGTTGGGATGTGTGTAGAAAAGTGTTTTTACCATTACTGTAGTTTTGTTAACCTGAAGTCGCAAAATTGCGCGGACTGAAATCTGCATAAAAGTATATACTTTGCATCCAAATCCACACTAAACTCACATAATGTCTTTTATAATAAAAACAGTAGTTCATGTTTTCTCACTTTAACCTCATCCAGTTCCACCTTACTGAGCCTGTTGTCTGCAGAGGGGATGACGGCAACTGAGAGGAAGGTGGATTTATTGTATCTAATGGACTGTAAGTGATACCAGAATAAAACAGGAATAAAGAGCTCCTGCGAGTTATTTTAGCGAGGCAGTCTTCCCGCTTTCTTCCACCACCAAAAAAATATAACACAATCTATCAGAACATCTTCCAGATATACAGTGAATTTTAAAACCAATGAAACAAACAAATTATTTATTATTTCATCTCTAAATCTTTTTTTTAGGCTACCTTGTTATTCTCATCTTTACTAGACATTGTGAATAAGGATAGAAACAGACAACTAGTGTTAAAAGGCAAACCGTATTGAATCTGAATAAACACTCATTCACACACACACGCTTCGGCCTCCCGTCCTCTTGTGTCGTCTGCAGGGGCGATCGAAGATAGGTTTTTTTCATATTCAGAGAATCTCGCTCTCCTTATTAAAAACACGAGTTGATGGCAGTTCACTGTCTTCTCGTATTATTTAAAAGCAAGACAAAAGAAGAGTTGTTAGGCAAAATGATTCAGTCCAGGAAAAATAAAAAGAATAATAACCTCGGGGTAATGATGAAAAAAGAAAATAAAAGCCAGTATTTTAACTCAACAGAGGGGAAAAAATGAAATGCTGGGAAGGGAGAACGCGTCTCCCAATCGTCGCTTCTGACCAACTGGTCGATCCGAGAGCCAATGTGACGAGAATTTGTTTGTCTTAGGCCACTTTAGTAGCTGGGCTACCACTAAAACAGTAGTCCCTCCCAGCTGTTTCAACCAATCATCCCATCTGTCGACTGTAAAAACCCCACCCGACTCATTACTCCCCCTCCCAAACCAAAGTCCCCTGTAGCTGTTTTGTACTTTAGCACCTCTTGTCATCTCTCCCTGTAAATGTCCAGACAGACAAACACCAGAATGGAAACCGTCACAGTTCCTCAGGCATCCTCTCCCTCCACCCTACGAGGGGAGGGTTAAACAAGTCTTAGGGCGGCACGTAAGGAGGTGGAGATCTGTAGGGAGTCATGTTCTTGGGACGGGAACCCTTGCCCTCCATGGGAGTGGTGAAGGGAGGTGGCGGCTGGTAGGGAGGCGCGTTGGGGTCCTCGTCCCGCAGAGCTGTGTACTCCCCCAGCAGCTCCTGGTTGAGGGGAGTGGTCTCTGGCGTGGCCATGTTGGGGTACTCCGGGGGTGGAAGTGGGGGCTTCTCTTCCTGCAGAATCAAGGGCATACTGGAGGATGGAGGCGGCTTAGAGTCATCAAGTTCATCGGCAAAGATAATCGGCACACCTTTTTTGATGAATGTGGCCTGGTCCTCGATGGTCAGCTTGCCCTTTCGTTTCTTCCTGTAGCAGATCATTGCAATGATACCCGCTATCAACAAGATGGCTGCCACCACCACGGCGGGAATTACTGTGTGGAGATAGACATCATCGGTGCTCTGCCGGCCTGTTCCCAGAGCTGGAGTGACAGCTGGAGGTTCTGCTATATCAATCTCTCCTGGTGGGATGAAGGAATATGTTCTGCAGCTTGCCCTTCCCTTGACCATGACGTCCAGTGGTCTGAATTCAGGCTCCATAGAGTACCTGAAGGTCTGCGAGGGTTTTCCGTCCGCACTGGCGAGCGTCCTGCTCATGGCTGCGAGCTGTTCTTTTGGACACGGGTGCTGCGGGAGGCTGGTGTTTGTCCACTCCACCACAATGGAGCCTTTGCTGATATTCCTTAGACTGACTGTACTGCTGTTGCGGTCCCCCAGCACATATGCCAGTTTCTTTACCAGGAGGATCTTTTTGTGGATATCATTTGTAATTGAACGTGGCTCACCATCGAATCGGGCCGTAAAGATCACAGGGGTCTTGTCATTCATGGGCCAGCGGTTAACACGGACCTCAAAAGCATCAATTGCATTCAGGCCACCTTTGTCAGTTGCCTGCATGAAGTATTCGTGTTTTCCAATGTGTTGGACATCAGGAAGGCCATAGAGAAGTTGGCTGGTAGTGTTGAACTGGATCCAGGAACCCTCTCCAACCACTTCATTGTGGTTCTGTCTCAAAGTTAGACGCAGCTTGTCTGTTGTGCCATCCTCTTTATCAAAGAATGTATCGGATGGGATCTTAACCTCGAAATAGGTGCCCACCAATGCATTGACCTGGTCTATGGGGTTACGCAACACAGGCTTCTCGTTGTATGGATCCGGGATAATACCAGGTGACGGTGTGGTGCGCCTGGATGGCTTGGCTGTGGAGGTCTTTGGCTCTCTGGGCCCCGGTGTGGTTTTGACTCTCTTAGGTTTCCTGGTAGTAATTCTGGTAGGTGTGGATGGTGTGGCAGTGGCCTCCACATAAATATGCCTGGTCATGGTTGGCTGGATAGAAATGGTGCTGGTGGTCTCCATTACCTTTGTTGGCTGAGGAGGTCCCGGGGTTGGGGTGTGGGCAGTGGGGTCACGGACTCTGATTGTAGGCTTGCCCGGAAGGGGAACGGGGCCTCTTACTGGTGGAGCAGAACTTTCGGTTGGTGCAGCAATAGAGGGAGAGGAGAGGGTTGGGATAATCCGCACTGGAGGCTCCACTACAGTTGTGGGAGGAAGCACTGCCAGAACGGGTGTTGGAGTGTTGCCTAATTGCCGCCTCACCCGTTTAGGGACATGGGGTTTCTTGTTGGCAATGTGCCATCCCACCACAGGGTAGCCCAGCTTGGCTGACATTGTGCCTTCCTTTGCAGGACCCTGGACACTGTTGATATTTGGGACTGTGCTCTGCTCCAGCGAGCAGCCGAGCTTCCAGGACAACAGAGCTCCATTCTCCACCACCTGGGGAGCAGATTGAGAATTATTAATTTAATTCTCTAACAAGTATTTATTTATCCAGAAAACTCATTAGCACTCATTCTCATTCATCATTTACTCGCTTGCACACCCTTGCTCACCTTCTTTGCGTTCCCCGGCCCAGCCATGAATGCAGACATGTCGAACAGCCTGTTATTGACCACCGGCAGTATCTTCATGTGCTGGAGCCCCACCCCAGAGAAGCTCCTCATGTTGTCCAGGAGCTCCACCCTCTGTCCTGAGCTCATCTTGGTCAAATCTGCGTCCAGGATCACCGTCAGCACCGTGACCGGCTCCTCATTGCCACACATGAACGGCTGCACGTCATCTTCCGTGGAGGCTTGGTTGGATGCGAGCTGGGCTGACTCCGCATCCAGATGATCTTCAGGGTGAACCTCAATGGAAAACACCTCTGAGGAAGAGGAGGCTTTTGTGTGATTGGAGATGGATACGGAAATATAATGGACACCTTTATCCTCCTCCAAAGGTAGACCCTGTAGGATTCTGTTGCTGGCATCCCAGTGCAGCCAGGCAGGGAGGGAATCCTTACCCATCTCTGTGATCTGGAAGACAAACACAAAAACAGGAAGTGAGTTGACCAATGTTTCAATATATGTAAAGAGAGAAAACAGAGTAAAGAAAAAAGCTCTCAGCAGTAGAACATTTAGTAAGTTATGGTTGCTCCTGATATAGATAATTTACTGGACAGTTTGCTGGAAAAAAATATTGATGAGACAGAGAAAAATTCAGCAAACCTTTTTGTCCAGCACACAACAATTCTATGAATACAGATTTAAGTGCTTTTATTTTGTAAAAGCTTGTATTTGTCATGTTCTTGTCTTTGAATATGTTGTCTAAATTTAACTGCCATTGATGCAACCTGTACTCAAAAAATAAAGCGTTTGGGTATGAGCTAAAAACGACATGAACAGGATTAACTGCCGTGGCTATTCAACGCATACAGACACTGAAAAGCTCTGAATTGTAATTTAAACCCGACTAAAAATTAAAATAACTCTGCCAATTATACAACCGGGGGACGTCCCCGTGGCAGGAGGCTGATGGAGAGAAATGGATCATGGGGGAATGACAATGCATCCACCACACATAAATCCCAAAACAAGAACAAATGCATCCTGTGCTCCCAGGCCCCTACAAGTTAATTCTGCGGCTAATAAATCCTGGTTGATAAATTATGTAGAGGCAGCTCTCCCTAGACACATCATTAATGCTCTAACCAGCACGCAGGCAGCGCCGGGGGAAAACGCACGCACACGCAAACACACTCAGGAAAGCACACGCCGGGAAACGCACTTTCTCAAGCATGCAGAGGTGCACAGAAATGGACAACAAGGCCACAGACAGACACGGAAAGCTGTATATGTTTTCCCTCAGACATACAGTGCACACGTCAACCTTGCCAAGAGCTGGGCTTTTAACAATTATACCCTCATGGACAATTTCTTTAAAAACCTTCCCCCAGTGGACAAGCCTTTACACCTCATCAAGCCAATGCCCTTTTTCCCAGAAATACTTGGATATTGTTCTTTTTCCAGAAGCACAGGAAAAGCTATTCCAACAGTTATATTTATGCCCTGCTGCCTTTTCTTTTTGTCTTTTGCCTCCTTTTCTCATATTCAGTTTCCTCTTTCTTCTTTTGACACCTCGCCCCCCCTCCCTCGGTATCCCTGCTCTCCTCTTTTCTGCTGTCATTATTTCAAAATGTCATTATCAAAATCTGACAGGCCTTTTCACTGGGAGATAAAAAAGCTCATTTCTGAGGTGGCGATGCAGGAAGATGTCACGATTCTTGGCCAAGAATGTAAATTCCAGTTACCGCAGGAAACACAGATATTATTTAGATAATTGTAGGTTGCAGCAATGTTACAACTGACAGTTTAGGTCCACAACATCAATCTTTTCCATTTTCTTTCCAATAGGAAAGAATGTCCACTGCTGGCAACAGAGACACCCAAAATATCATTGAAAGCGATGACTGCATATAAAAGGAAATCAAAGAAACAAAAATACTTGTGTGTCTTTAAATGTAGGTTCCTTGAGCAATGTTTGCTTTCATTTGTCACAAAAGAGCTCTGCAGCCTCAAAACTTAAAACCAATCGCCTCCTGACATGGCATTGCAAATTAAATCACAAAGAGACGATGGAGGACAAGTGAGTTGCCAGGGAAGTTAATCTCATCGTGACTGTCGTAATTGCTCCAAAAATGACTGAATTGTGTCCCAAAAGGACGAGGATGATCGCTTCCTTATCTGCTGCCAATTAAATTTGGAGGTGAAAAACTGGTGAAATTTAATTGAATTCTTTTTGATAATTTGGTCAGAAAAGGTGAAAATATCAAAAGCTCACTACAAAAAAAACCATGCATCATGTTATGATATTTGGCTCATATGGAGCAACGTCTGAACAGGGTTGTGTATCAGCAGGAATCAATACTATACATATCACAATACAGGGGTTACAATTCAATATCACTGTAAGCAAGGTTGGATCTGCATCGGGATCACATCCCTTTGAGCTTTTTATCGATGCTGGTGTGTTTTTCAGTGACGTCAAACTCATACACTACTTTCATTCAGTTTAGATGACATCATTCTGACTCAAAAATCTTATCAATCCCCATCTCTACATCCAATATCACCACCTTCACTTTACATTTACAACACTGCTATCTAGCGGTTGGAGTTTAACCACAAAAATCGATCTACAGTGTTTTTTGAAAATATCCCAAAACAATATATTGTAATTTTTAAAATATTTTCTTACACCTCTACTTCTGAATGATGGGATGGACAAAAACAAACTGAATCTCTCCACATAAACAACTACTCAACAACACAGACGCACAGCAGTCGTACTGGAAAGCTTCCCCATGTGACGGGTTTGTGTATCTCTGCCTCTGGAAGTTCTGACGGCTCCTTCAAAAGCAATGTTCTCTAAAGCCAATGTCCCTGCCTCAGTAAGCGTTAAAACAAAAACACAATAGTGCCTTTAAAACTCCAACATGAACCCAGCAGAGAGCTTGTAGTTTACTGCCTTCCTAAAAGAACATGAAAAATACATCAAATCCCCCAAAATGTCAAGAAAAATATTTCATATCTTTTCCTGGCACAAGGCTTCAGCGCAAGAGAGCTTGATGTTTGGCCCTAAAGGTTATCGTGTGCTCTCACAGACTCCTCTAGCCTCCCTTTCCCTCCCATACAGCACACACCACTGGCAAGGTTACCACCTAAGCCCTTCTGAAACAGCCAGGGAAAACCCTGCGTTTTGGAAGATTTATTTGGAGAAACACAGCAGGGCCAGGCAACAAGAATGAAGGAGACTAAACTATTTTCTGGGAAGCTGTAAAGGTGGTGGCAAGGGCAACTTAAGACACAGAAATAATGTATAGAAGCAGCAATCAAAGTTAATTTACTCGGGGCATTTACGGAGCAGTATGATGACTTTTCAAAGTGCTGCCTCTTTCGAGGACAACATTGAAATCACGTCTAATTACACGTTCTCACCCCAAGTTGTCAAATACCTATGCTGCTTGGTAACGTTCCTCTGTGTCTCAGATAGAAGGAGCACAAGGTACCACAAGGGTTTCAGAAGTGGAGCGTCTTCTACAATCAGATAGACGCTTCAGAGTATCGCAAGGTTTTGGCAACAAAAGTACTTGTTTAGGTTTAGGACAAGATCATGATTTGGGCTAAAATAAGTATGACTGTATGTTACGTTATATAACTTAAAAGTCTTAATTTTTGGTTTCACACGGGACATGAACTCCAGTCTCCTGGGTCTCTTCCATTTTCAATGTTTTAAAAAGCTCCTTTCATGTTACAAAGTGATTCGCTGTAGCTCCAGTTTGTCTCACTAAGGAGAAGAATTGGGGGAGAAAGCAATGTTTCAGGTAAGTTGTGTCCTTGAAATAAAGAGCTGTGTGTTTGTTAGCGGCCATTCTCGCTGCCATTCAAGCAACTACTTTGCATTTGCAGACAATCAGAGACTTCAGCGGCTACATATCGTGAAGTTTAGGCAACAAAACTACTTGGTTAGGTTTTGGAAAAGATGCTGATTTGGGTTTGAATAAGTACGTTACGTGAGGTTAGGGGATGCCATTACTGTCTGTTATCTGATTGGACATGAACTCCAGTGAAAGCCTTGTTTGTTTGACCCGTCCATCCAATCCCAATCACCAGTTTACACTGACTTTGTCACTCTTTATGGGTTACATTGGAGCTAGACGGGGTACCTTCTGCGTCTGTATGAGAAGCCAAAGGGCAGGACACAACATCGGTATTTGACGCCCTGGAAATGAGATCTTCTGCTTATTAACCTCCAGAAAGTTCCCAACCCTGTCCAGTTCTGAGTAACACGGCCCTTTGAGGAGCTACACAATAACTTTAAGCACCATGTACAATCAATGTTAACGTTGATGGCAGTAAAAACCCAAGCTACGAAGAGATAAGAGCCTTTTTGGGTGAGTTAAAGAGTGAATCACTGACATATGTAAAGATGTCTGAGCACGGCTGTCACCCCCAGTGCAAGCATCCGTTTTACCCCCCCTCGACTTAAAAGACTGTTAATTAAAACAAAATGATAATCTCATCAAAGTTAGCGGTTGTTTGATCATTTTTCTCATTTTTCCTCACACACACACACACGTCAGCCCTAAAAGCCGGCGTGACTATCAGCGCTATAAGCTACAGTGATGGGGACTGTGGTGGAACGGACTATTTGAAGTCTGTATGAACGACAGGCATGAAACACTGCGAGACGTTATCGCATATCAGCGGCATCATCCTTATTTCTCCCTGTGTCGCTGGCGTCCCTCGGTCTCCTCAGCTGTTTGTCTTTACAGCCGCTGCCGTTCGGAGGGACACAGCACGGCGCCTTTAGGTATTTAAACATCGTACTGTTTACATTTATGTGAGAGCTATAGTTATTGGTTATAAAAAGGTTATAAAAAACAATGAATTGTAAGAATTTAAACTACCCAGAAATCTATAAAGTGCTGCTACAACATTAAAATGCTGCTTGCACAATAATGATGATGATACTTCCAAACTTGTACTTGAACATACAAACAGTCTCAGTTTAACACCGATGGCTCTATTTGATCAACATAAACAAACAATAGCATTAGTTATTGTCTGCTAAACATAATCTTTAGGTTCTGCAGCGATTTGTTTGGCTTTTGCACAATTCATCGTTCTTAAGTCCCCTTTGGCTCTGTGCTCCAGTAACAGTTGAGCAAGCCTTTCCTTCCTGTACATGTGCTCGGTTAATCTATGTTAAAAGGCAACCACGGTTTGAAGATGGTTAAAAGAACAAAAAGTGACATACACAGTCACATCTTAAGTTCGCTAAAGTTAGCAAAAGTTTACTAATTAGCTAACTAAAGTTTGTTGAAAATTAGCTTGCTCTTAAACATAGCATTTTCTTAAAATTAGTGTCGCTGCCTGAGCCGTACCTCCTGCCCGAGCTGGCTAGTTAGCTACTGTTTTGCTATTGGTCTGTAGCAAAAGGCTAGCTAACTAGCCAACAACGCTTCAACATAGCT